ATAGATAGATAGATAGATAATAGATAGATAGATAGATAGATAGATAGATAGATAATAGATAGATAGATAGATAGATAGATAGATAGATAGATAGATAGATAGATAGATAGATAGATAGATAGATAGATAGATAGATAGATAGATAGATAATAGATAGATAATAGATAATAGATAGATAGATAGATAGATAGATAGATAATAGATAGATAATAGATAGATAATAGATAGATAGATAGATAGATAGATAGATAGATAGATAGATAGATAGATAGATAGATAGATAGATAGATAGATAGATAATAGATAGATAGATAGATAGATAGATAGATAGATAGATAGATAGATAGATAGATAGATAGATAGATAGATAGATAGATAGATAGATAGATAGATAGATAGATAGATAATAGATAGATAGATAGATAGATAGATAGATAGATAGATAATAGATAGATAATAGATAGAGATAGATAGATAGATAGATAGATAGATAGATAGATAATAGATAGATAGATAGATATATAGATAGATAGATAGATAGATAGATAGATAGATAGATAGATAGATAGATAGATAATAGATAGATAGATAATAGATAGATATAGATAGATAGATAGATAGATAGATAGATAGATAGATAGATAGATAATAGATAGATAGATAGATAATAGATAGATAATAGATAGATAGATAGATAGATAGATAGATAGATAGATAGATAGATAGATAATAGATAGATAGATAGATAATAGATAGATAATAGATAGATAGATAATAGATAGATAGATAGATAGATAGATAGATAGATAGATAATAGATAGATAGAGATATGGGATAGATAGATAGATAGAAATATAGATAATAGATAGATAATAGATAGATAGATAGATAGATAATAGATAATAGATAGAAAGATAGATAGATAGATAGATAGATAGATAGATAGATAGATAGATAGATAGATAGACAGATAGATCAGTATGTTATATTGGTGTAGTGCCCTCTAGTGGTGCTAGAGAGTTAGGAAAATGTAATGGCTCATTCAATAGTTGAAGTGAGTATGTCTGAGTAGGGGGTCACGCTCAGGTTAGGCTAAAAGACTCCACCTGGCTCTGGAGGCCTATGGAAGCTTCTAGAAGCCAGTGGGCGGAGGTGTGGAGACCTCGATCAGCATATTCTTTGGAGTCTGACCAATCCTAGACAGGGAGACCTGACAGTGTGGGAAGACCAGCCCATAAATATGAGAGAGCCATGCCAGCAAGGGTAGTCAGGTAAAAGAGAACTGAGGTGCTGTTGTGTAACCTGGAAGGAGGGCCCCGGAGAAGGAGGGGGTTTTGCCTCCACGCTGGAGGCTGGAAGAAAGGGAAGGAAGCTAACAGAGGGAGTCACTGCTTTACTGTCCACCGGAAAGGACAGTCTGAAAGCGGGGAAAGAAACTGCCTCAGTGAGAAGCCTGAACATAGTTTAGCCAAGGATACAGGATACAAGGACACTGTGAGTACCTCTACACCCCGGAGCCTACAGGAGAGAGGACTGCTGGGCGCAATACTTAACCTCTACACCCCCGGAGCCTACAGTAGAGAGGACTGCTGGGTGAAATACTTAACCTCTACACCCCCGGAGCCTACAGGAGAGAGGACTGCTGGGTGAAATACTTAACCTCTACACCCCCGGGGCCTACAGGAGAGAGGACTGCTAGGTGCAATACTTAACCTCTACACCTCCGGGGCCTACAGGAGAGAGGACTGCTGGGTGCAATACGTAACCTCTACAACCCCGGGGCCTACAAGTGAGAGGACTACTGGGCACAATACTTAACCTCTATACCCCGGGGCCTACAGGAGAGAGGACTGTTGGTGCAATACTTAACCTCTACACCCCCGGGACCTACAGGAGAGAGGATTACTGGGCGCAATACTTAACCTCTACACCCCTGGGGCATATAGGAGAGAGGACTGCTGGGTGCAATACTTAACCTCTACACCTCCGGGGCCTACAGGAGAGAGGACTGCTGGGTGCAATACTTAACCTCTACACCTCCGGGGCCTACAGGAGAGAGGACTGCTGGGTGCAATACTTAACCTCTACACCCCCGGGCCTACAGTAGAGAGGACTGCTGGGTGCAATACTTAACCTCTATACCCTGGGGCCTACAGGAGAGAGGACTGCTGGGTGCAATACGTAACCTCTACAACCCCGGGGCCTACAAGTGAGAGGACTACTGGGCACAATACTTAACCTCTATACCCGGGGCCTACAGGAGAGAGGACTGTTGGTGCAATACTTAACCTCTACACCCCGGGACCTACAGGAGAGAGGACTGTTGGTGCAATACTTAACCTCTACACCCCCGAGACCTACAGGAGAGAGGACTACTGGGCGCAATACTTAACCTCTACACCCCTGGGGCCTACAGGAGAGAGGACTGCTGGGTGCAATACTTAACCTCTACACCTCCGGGGCCTACAGGAGAGAGGACTGCTGGGTGCAATACTTAACCTCTACACCCCCGGGGCCTACAGTAGAGAGGACTGCTGGGTGCAATACTTAACCTCTACACCCCCGGACCGATAAAAAAAAATGTGAAAAAATCCTGAAAAACAGCCGACCAATTAACCCACTAACGGTGCAAAAAATCGGCCGATCTTTTTTTTTTTCGGCTGAAAACTCGGCCGATTTTCGAACCTTCTATGGCCTGCATAACACTGATCAAATTAGAATAAAAAAGTGAGGCTTTTTATTTATTTGCTGATTTATTTATTGCCCTTAGATTGCATTACAAAATTAATATATTTTTGTATGAAAATATTACCAATAAAAAAAGCCCTTGTTTGTATTTTTTTTTTTTAAAGTGATACAAATAATAAGGACCCTAGAAGGAGCGGGGCTGCTCTGTGCAAAACCACAGCTAAGACGTTTGTTATTTTAAAAGAAGACCCTTGTGTTTCATTTTTAAATAACAAAAGCATTGCTTTAGATTTTAAACAGGACAAACTATAGAATAAATTGTATCCTTTGCAGGGGCGGACTGACCATTTGGAAACTCGGGCACTGTCCGAGGGCCCGGGGTCAGTAGGGGCCCCATGAGAAGCTCCTGGTACCTTTTTCATAGGCTTTTTTGAGTTTGGGCAAGGACACAGGGGCCCCCTGATCCCCTATTGCCTGGGGGCCCAATGAGTTATCAGTCCGACCCTGATCCTATGTATCTAAACAGTAACAATTATTAAAAAAAAACAAAAAAAAACAAAAAGAAAACTAACGTTGATCAAATTAGAAAAAAAAGTGAGGCTTCTTATTTATTTACTTATTTATTGCCCATAGATTGCATTACAAAATCAATATTTTTGTATGAAAATATTACCAATAAAAAAGCCCTTGTTTGTTTGTTTTTTGTTTTTTTTTATTATTTTACGTAATAACAAATGAATAGGCTCCTAGTAGAAATGAAAAGTTGATCGGCTCCGTAGGGGGTGCACCGGGAGAGCTGAACTGGTTAAATAGCCTCCCGCATACTTTTCTAAGAGTTTGGTCATATTTACATAATAGAAACAAAAAAACCCCTAGCAATGACCCCCCCTCCATCTGAAGATCTATGTATCAATGTTGCATCGCTCTCTTGTAAGCTGACAGTATACATTTTAATGAGCATGTTATCCTCGGACGCATTGGCTGTGCTGCGCGTCTGGTGTAATGTGTGGCGGCAGAACGCGGCTCTCATTTCATTGTTCCTTCAATCATTGAGCTATTGACTTTCCCCGGAACCGTTACACACATCACCCCGGGGCAGTTGTGATTACACGTGTGATATCGGTAGTACACCCTCCATTAATTACAATTACTGCAGGTTTTTTTTTTATTTTTTTTTTTTCTCTTTAGGCACCAGGCGAACGAGCAAAAACCTATTAATCTGCATTACTTGTTATTGTTTCTATAAAGCGCAGCCGTGGTAATTGGGTATAAAATGATATATGGAGTGCAGAACCCATGTGAGGTTCTAATCGCTGCTCCAATGACTATAGTACAGAAAAAAATGGAGCCGGAGATGGAAATCCAAACCTGGCCATATTTCAGGGCCAGAGATAAGGGGGTACCACCAGTACTCCTGTATGGGGCCCATGCCATCTGAATCAGATGTGGACAGGGATGGTAACTGACATGGCGGGGGGGGGCAATTACTGGAACCGATCCACTGCATGGCTCTCTCTGCAGCAGGGCCATAGATAAGGGGGTACCGCCAGTACTCCTGTATGGGGCACAGGCCAGCAGGGAGGGCCCAGGCAGCTGAGTGAATCAGATGTGGGCAGGGATGGTAACTGACATGGCGGGGGGGGCAATTACTGGAACCGATCCCCAGTATTGCTCTCTCTGCAGCAGGACCATGGATAAGGGGGTACCGCCAGTACTCCTGTATGGGGCCCATGCCATCTGAATCAGATGTGGACAGGGATGGTAACTGACATGGTGGGGGGGGAAATTACTGGAACCGATCCCCTGTATGGCTCTCTCTGCTGCAGCAGGGCCAGGGATAGGGGGTACCACCAGTATGGGGCCCATGCCATCTGAATCAGATGTGGACAGGGGTAATAACTGACATGGCAGGGGGGGCAATTACTGGAACAGACCCCCTGTATGGCTCTCTCTGCAGCAGGGCCATGGATAAGGGGGGTACCATCAGTACTCCTGTATGGGGCCCAGGCCAGCAGGAGGGGCCCAGGCAGCTAAGTGAATCAAATGTAAGCAAGGATGGTAACTGACATGGCAGGGGGGGGCAATTACTGGAACCGATCCCCTGTATGGCTCTCTCTGCAGCAGGGCCGTGGATAAGGGGGTGCCACCAGCAGGGCTGCTGTTAGAAAACCACGGGGCCCCATACAGCCAACCTGGCATGGCCCTCCAAAGAAAACAAAGTTTACTACGCTTCAGCTATGAATCAGTGATTGGTACAGATCACTCATTGGCTTCATTTGGGAAAGGAAGGGGCTGGCAAATGGGGAAGTGTCCGGACTGGAAGGGGGTGAAAAGTGTCCGAACTGGAAGGGGGGGAAGTGTCCGGACTGGAAGGGGGTGAAAGTGTCCGAACTTGGAAGGGGGGGAAGTGTCCGGACTGGAAGGGGGGGAAAGTGTCCGGACTGGAAGGGGGGGAAGTGTCCGGACTGGAAGGGGGTGAAAGTGTCCCGAACTGGAAGGGGGGGGAATGTCCGGACTGGAAGGGGGGGAAAGTGTCCGGACTGGAAGGGGGGGAAAGTGTCCAGACTGGAAGGGGGGGGAAAGTGTCCCAGACTGGAAGGGGGGGGAGTGTCCAGACTGGAAGGGGGGGGGAAAGTGTCCGGACTGGAAGGGGGGGAGGAAGTGTCCGGACTGGAAAAGGGGGTGAAAGTGTCCGGAACTGGAAGGGGGGGGAAAGTGTCCGGGACTGGAAAGGGGGGGGAAAGTGGTTCCAGACTGGAAGTGGGGGGGGGAAAGTGTTCCCAACTGGAAGGGGGGGGGGAAGTGTCCGGACTGGAAAGAGGGGGGGGAAGTGTCCGGACTGAAGGGGTGAAAGTGTCCGGACTGGAAGGGGGGGAAGTGTCTGGACTGGGAAGAGGGGGAAAGTGTCCAGACTGGAAGGGGGGGGAAGTGTTCCAGACTGGAAAGGGGGGGGAAGTGTCCCGACTGGAAGGGGGGGGGGGGGGGGGAAGTGTCCCGACTGGAAAGGGGGGAAAGTGTCCCGACTGGAAGGGGGGAAAGTGTACAGACTGGAAGGGGGAGGGGGAGTCGGTCCGGACTGGAAGGGGGGGGGCGGGAAAAAGTGTCCGGACTGGAAGGGGGTGAAAGTGTCCGGACAAGAAGGGGGGGAAAGTGTCCAGACAAGAAGGGGGGGGAAAGTGTCCAGGACTGGAAGGGGGGGGGGGGGGGGGGGGGGGGGGGGGGGGGGGGGGGGGGAAAGTGTCCAGACTGAACTGGAAGGGGGGGGGGAAAGTGTCCAGACTGGAAAGGGGGGGAAAGTGTCCAGACTGGAAGGGGGGGAAAGTGTTCCAGACTGGAAGGGGGGGGGGGAAAGTGTCCCGACTGGATGAAGAGGGGGGGGGAAGTGTCCGGACTGGAAGGGGGGGAAAGTGTCTGGACTGGAAGGGGAGGAGAAAGAGTCCGGACTGGAAGCAGGGGGGGAAAGTGTCCCGGGTACTGTAAGGGGGGGGGGGAAAGTGTCCGGACTGGAAGCGGGGGGGGGAAGTGTCCGTGACTGGAAGGGGGTGAAAGTGTCCAGACTGGAAGGGGAGGGGGGAAGTGTCCAGACTGGAAGGGAGTGAAAGTGTCCGGAATGGAAGGGGGGAAAGTGTCCAGACTGGAAGGGGGGGTGAAAGTGTCCGGACTGGAAGGGAGGGAAAGTGTCTGGACTGGAAGGGAGTGAAAGTGTCCGGACTGGAAGGGTGGGAAAGTGTCCGGACTGGAAGGGGGGGAAAGTGTCCGGACTGGAAGGGGGGGGAAAGTGTCCCGGACTGGAAGGGGGGGGGAAAGTGTCCTGGCACTGGAAGGGGGTGAAAGTGTCTAGACTGGAAGGGGGGGAAAATGTCCCGGACTGGAAGGGGGGGGGAAGTGTCCGGACTGGAAGGGGGGGAAAGTATTCGGACTGGAAAGGAGGGAAAGTGTCTGGACTGGAAGGGGGTGAAAGTGTCCAGACTGGAAGGGGGTGAAAGTGTCCAGACTGGAAGGGGGTGAAAGTGTCCGGACTGGAAGGGGGGGAAAGTGTCCGGACTGGAAGGGGGGGGGGAAGTGTCCAGACTGGAAGGGAGTGAAAGTGTCCAGACTGGAAGGGAGTGAAAGTGTCCGGACTGGAAAAGGGGGGGAAAGTGTCCGGACTGGAAGGGGGGGAAAGTGTCCAGACTGGAAGGGGTTAAATCTGTTCTCGGTTGATATGGTTACAACCGACATATATTTAACACTATTTTTATATTGTTCGCACTGATAGCGCACTCCTTTTTGCACATGGCCATCGACATTTGAAACAAAGAAGCGCTCTGGTTCTGCTTTACCATAATAAAGAAGTCTCTGAGACTTGAAGATCATCTCCAGTAGGACAGGCAATCCATCTCAAACTTTAAACTGATCCTTTCAGAAGAGAGACCTCACCGGCTTTCATAACTTTTAATGGAATATTTAAAGTGAGGTAGCAAGATCTGCTTCAGTCCGGAGCTGACAAGGTGTAATCAATCATCGGTGTCAGGCCAAGATATGCAGTAATTCAATATTATATCTGCGACGTTCGCTGCAGTTAATTTGCAATTCTGAAGCAAACATAAAACTTGAAGGAAGTTATCGAGACAGAACAACAAAGCAGAGGGAAGGCGCACTGGGAGACTGTTGGGGATAATTCTGGGGCTCTGTAGCAGGAATAAACATGAATTGCTGGAGAGAAAAGGATAAAAAGCAGAAAAGTCCTTCATTTACTTGTCAAAGGAGATTCTTAACCTCCTCAGTGTTATCACCTAGCTCAGAATTTCCCTGTAAAAGTCGTGTCGGTGTTACTTGGGGTACCTACTTTTTTATTTCGATAGTTTTTATTGAAAATAGAAATTTGTGGTAAAGAGAAACAAAAAAACTCAGTACAAGGTAGAAATTACCGAAACAAATGAGCAAACCTTTTTTTTTCGTAAGTGCTATAAAACATACTGTCAGGGATCCCGGCGCCTCGGTGGTGCGCGCCCGAGCCGGAGAGCACTGAATCCTAGGCGATCACGGAGGCGGCCGCGCATCGCGCACTAGCAATCGCGGCCACACCAATGAGAGCACAGGGCGGCCTATTTAAACCTGCCCTGTGCATCTCCAAATCGCCTTCTGGTCTTGTTCCTGTTCCTGTGTTCCTGATTACTCCTGTGTTCCTGATACCTTGTTGCCAACCCAAGCCTGTCCTGATACTGCTACCCTCTCCTGCTCTGACCCCTGGCTCGTCCTGACTATTCTCTACCTGTTCCTGATTGCCTGACCTCCTGTTACTGAACCCGGCTTGTGACCTGTTATTCTTCTGCCTGCCGCTCTGCACTGTCTGCTCCGCTGTTACTGACCCGGCCCGTCTGACCACACATACCTCTTCACGTCTGGCTCTCACCTGCTCTACACCATTGGCTTCCGCCTCTACCACAGCTGGTGTTCCTCAGGGGTCGCGACCTGGTCTCAGACTGCTTCAAGTCCATCCCCACCATCAGGGGCACTGGTGAACCAGCAGACTGAGGCTTAGACTCCGCGCCCTGAGGGATTCCGGCCAGTGGGCTGCTAGAGGCTACCGCCAGTCGGCCGCTGACACATACAGTGAAGGAAATGTGTATTTGCTCCCCTGCTGATGCTGAATGTTCGCCCCCTCACACAGAAATGATCGGTCTAACAATGGAATGTTCGCCCCTCACACAGAAATGATCGGTCTAACAATGGAATGTTCGCCCCTCACACAGAAATGATCGGTCTAACAATGGAATGCTCGCCCCTCACACAGAAATGATCGGTCTAACAATGGAATGTTCGCCCCTCACACAGAAACGATCGGTCTAACAATGGAATGTTCGGTGTAACACTGAGAGACAGAATACAACAACAAATTCAGCAGAAATGCGTCTAGCAAATGATGACTGATCTGCATGTTCATGAGGGAAAGAAGGATTTGATCCCCTTCACAAAACATGACTTAGTACTTGGTGGCCAATCCCTTGTTGGCAATCACAGAGGTCAGACGTTTCCTGGAGTTGGCCCCCAGGTTCGCACACATCTCAGGAGGGATTTTGGCCCACTCCTCATGGCAGATCCTCTCCAAGTCATTAAGGTTTGGTGGCTGACGTTCGGCAACTCGAAATTTCAGCTCCCTCCACAGATTTTCAATCGGATGAAGGTCTGGAGACTGGCTAGGCCACTCCAGGACCTTAATGTGCTTCTTCTTCAACCGCTCATTTTTTGTTCGGGTGTCAAACTGGCGGCCCTCCAGCTGTTGCCAAACTACAAGTCCCATGAGGCATTGCAAGATTGACAGTTACAAGCATGACTCCTAAAGGCAAAGGCATGATGGGACTTGTAGTTTGGCAACAGCTGGAGGGCCACCAGTTTGACACCCATGATGTAATGCAAACATGACAGAGAGAGAGGACTAAGAATGAGGAATAGCCCCAACAGTGGTGAGGAAACAAAAAGATATACGGAGTAGTCAGACATTGCCAAAATGGTGCGTGTATCCAGCAATCAATCAATCAATGTATCCAGCAATCACCCATTGATAGCTCCCCCTGGTTTGGGACCAAGTATAATGGGGGCCCTAGCGAAAAGGCTGCACATCTAATGTAGTTATTCAGTTTCTAAACAGGGTCAAAGAGGACAAGGGATCCTTCTACGATCAGATATCCAAGAGACCCAGTGTCAGGGCTCTGTCTACAGCAGAGGTACTTGGAGACCTGGCATTCCTGCCAGTACCTTGCATGGCTGCAGAAATGCACGCTGGCAAAAATTGGCACACGGATGTGAGCCAGAACACACATGCGCACAGGTGCATAGTTTACGCATGCATTAGCCCAGTTTGGCACCAGGTGGCCTTTATAAGGAAGCCCATCACTCCCTCAAATTGCTCGTTGATCCCTGGCTCCTCAGTACCTTTGTCCATGTTCCCTTGCTACTGTGATCTACTGTTACCGATTTGGCTTGTTCCTGGACCTGTCTTCTTTGCCTGACTCCTGATCTGACCCCGGCTTGGCTAATAGATGTTCTCACCTGACTCCTGATCTGACCTCGGCTTGGCTAACAGATATTCTCACCTGCTCTCCTGATCTGACCAGGCTTGGCTAATAGATATTCTCACCTGCTCTCCTGATCTGACCAGGCTTGGCAAACAGATATTCTCACCTGCTCTCCTGACCTGACCCCGACTTGGCAAACAGATATTCTCACCTGATCTCCTGATCTGACCCCGACTTGGCTAATAGATATGCTCACCTGATCTCCTGATCTGACCAGGCTTGGCTAACAGATATTCTCACCTGCTCTCCTGATCTGACCCCGACTTAGCTAATATATATTCTCACCTGCTCTCCTGATCTGACCCCGACTTGGCTAATAGATATTCTCACCTGCTCTCCTGATCTGACCCCGACTTGGCTAATAGATATTCTCACCTGATCTCATCTGACCCCGACTTGGCTAATAGATATTCTCACCTGATCTCATCTGACCCTGACTTGGCTAACAGATATTCTCACTCGCTCTCCTGTGTATGACCCCAGCTATCCTATTGACTACGTCTGCTCCAATCTCCACCCGGCATCTGACCTTGAGTACATCAGCCGTGCTCCTGAATATACTTCTAACAAGCCCTCCTACAGGCGACCCGTGCTACTTTGGGCCTGCCTCCTTCTGTCCCATATCCAGGGGATTCTGGAACTTAGCCGCACTCTCCATTGGCCTCTAACACCAGGTACGTGATACCCCAGAGTCAGGTTTGATTTAGCAAAAAGGTATTCCATATGATAGTTATCATTCAATATTGAGAGGACATTAGAGAATGAAGGGGGTATAGATTTTTTCAATGAGCACACTACAGCTAAGTACATGGGTGACCACCACATGAAAATTAAGAGGGGGATACCTATTTTTAACACTCAGGATAAATGCTAATAAGTCAGTAGGCAGGTGCAGGTATTCTTCCTGTCTGTAGGTGGCGCTGCATGGAAAGAGAAGTCTATTAAGGGAGAGTGTTCCCATAGGGACTCCGTTGGTCCTCTCTGGGAAGTAAAGTATCTGGTTTGGTATCTAATTCCCATGTGAATTCAGGCAGCCATCTTAATGGGGAAGCCTTGACATAGGGGATCCCATGTCATTTGGGCGTGATTTGAGCAAGTGACAAGCTAGGCTGAGAAACCCACTGGTTGGGAATCATGGCGTAGCATCAGGGGTCGCAGGGGTCACAATTGTGTGTTTAGCTCCAGGGGGTCCCTGTTGTCATCTTGTATGCTGCATTTTTTGCCCACAAATCCCGGAGACAGAATCAAGGTCCAATCCACCTTGTGTCTCCTAGTGCCCCAGCCGAGCTCTGCAATTCAGTCCCAAGCTTCCAGTTTGCCTTCTCCCCAGATCCCAATCCTCCCCCTCCCCCGCTCTTATTGGCTGGGGAGAAATTATGTGGGTCGGGTTTCCTGACTGGAGTGGAGGATGGTGAGCAGCCTGGGACAGGGAAGTGTGGTGGCAGTGTGCTGACAATGGCAGGGGGGACAGAGCGAGGCAGGAGGAGAACATCGCTTGAGAGTCGGGACAGGGCCGCTGAAACTTAGGTAAGAGACACTTCTCAGGTCACTCACTTAATGTGGATTTTCTATACCTCCCCACCTTGAGGTGTCCAATCAGTGGGAACACTGAGTGAAAGCTTGGAACAGGCACACTGCTCCCCACAGAACCTGGTGGGGGGGGGGGCTGCCAACACTTACAGAAAAATTATTTAGAAAAAAAACCCTTAACACCTCCTGAGGGCCCCCAAGTGCCCAAGATTTTGTTTTGTCAATTTGAGCAGCATTGTGGGGGGGGGGGTAGGGGGCATGTCATTACCAGGATTGTGGGTGTCGGGGGAGTATGTCATTACCGGGATGGTGGGAGGAGAGGTGAGTATGTCATTACCAGGATGGGGGGGGGCATGTCATTACCAGGATGGTGGGGGGCATGTCATTACCAAGATGGTGGGGGGGAGGGGGGCATGTCATTACTGGGATGCTGGGGGAAGGGGGGCAAGTCATTACCAGGATGGTGGGGGGGCATATCATTACCAGGTTGGTGGGGGGCATGTCATTACCAACATGGTGGGGGGATGGGGGGGATGTCATTACTGGGATGCTGGGATGGGGGAAGGGGGCAAGTCATTACCAGGATGGTGGGGGGGCATATCATTACCAGGTTGGTGGGGGGCATGTCATTACTGGGATGGGGGGGCATGTCATTACTCGGATGGGGGGGCATGCCATTACCGGGATGGTGGGGGGGCATGTCATTACTGTGATGGGTAGGGAGGGGGGCATGTCATTACCGGGATTGTGGGGGGAGGGGGGGCATATCATTACTGTGATGGGTGGGGAGGGGGAGCATGTCATTACCGGGATGGTGGGGGGAGCATGTCATTACTAGGATGGTGGGGGGAGCATGTCATTACTAGGATGGTGGGGGCATACCTCTGTTTACAAGTATTCAAAAGCATTGAGAGGTATGTCAAAATTGTATAGTTTTTACAAAATCTTTTGAGTTACCGTCTCAATACGTCAACAAAACTCTGAAATAACTCATTTGCCACTTGGAGTATATAGGTGCGTAGTGGGATTATCTTGGTGTGTGGTGGTAGGTGGTAATGGGGGGCCCTAGGTCAACTTTTGCATCGGGGCCCACAAGCTTCAAGCTACGCCTGTTAGGAGTAGTACTTAGTGCAGGGGCAGGTTCCTGGCAAGTAGGGATAACGTGGCGGGATCTCTGTCAGTGGCCAGTGCCATCCGGTTCCATGGCATACTGCTAGCCCTCCAGCAGAAGACGCCCTCGGGTAACGTTGCCATATTGAGATCCATTCTGGATTGTCTTGTTCTACACTGCAAATCATTTAATCATTGTGACTGTTCCAGCTTTGAGTAGACATCATACAATTTCCACTTTGCTAAGGTATGTGTATACATAATCCCTCCTGAGTGGGTACCTTAGTCAAGGTTCCACCTAAAAATCCACTTTTCAGGATGACATAGCAGACTGAGAATTGGTGAACCCACTTTGTTGTGAACCTGGAAGTGATCTGCTCTGAGCAATTCTGGATTTGCAGCTGTTGGATTGTGGCGGCAGCGGTGTCAGGAACCATAAACCAGGCGGAGACAGACATTGCAGTTAAAATCACACCTTTAATGAAATAGCAAAGATAACACAGTTCAGGAATGTAGTCAAAAACAGAAGCCAGGGTCTGGATGCCAAAGTGGGTAATCAGACGAACCGGGGTCAAGAAATCAGAAGTCAGCTTAGCCAGGAGCAAAATCAGGAAGAGGAATCGGAAGAGAAGTCAGCCAGACTGAGTTGTACATAGGAACACAGACAGGAACACACTGGAAAAAGAGAGGAAGGCGCCTCTAAGTGCAGTATTGACAATTTATTCAGTGAACAATGGAAAATTTGCACCTACAAGATAAACGGTTAAAAAGACTCATCATGTGGTAATTAGATCCAGGTGGGACATCCAGCCGTCCAGCAGCAGACTATGCCTATAGGATCAGGAAGTAGAGACCAGGCTGTGCCTTCAGAGGTCTGAAGAAGGAGCCTATTGAGCACGCTCCAAAATGCATTACCGCCCCCTTCACCTGCTACATCTGACTCTGCTCTCCAAGCTTCATTTTTGATGCACATCCTGGTCTCTACTTCCTGATCCTATAGACATAGTTTGCTGCTGGACGGCTGGATGTCCCACCTGGACCCAATTACCACACGATGAGTCTTTTTAACCGTTTATCTTGTAAGTGCAAATTTTCCATTGTTTACTGAATAAATTGTCCATACTGCACTTAGAGGCGCCTTCTTCTCTTTTTCTTGTTACTGCATTAGAGCCTTGCTTCCACTCTAAGAAGAGCTGCCTCAGTATTACTGCTCCCATCCATCCATCCCTGATATCCATCTGGCATCTTTATCTTACAGCTACAGAGATTGGGCTCCAATAAGCGCGCCCTATATAATATACATTTTCTAAGAGCACACTAGAGATCATAGACCAGGCAAGGGACTAATGAGGCAGGTAGGGTATCCAGGTGAGTCGCTGTGGAGGCAACAAGTAGCTGGTAATTAACCGACAGCTGAGCAGCTTCTGAGCACTGAAAGAAAAGAGCTGCTCGTTAGGTAGCAGGAGCCCAGCCCTTACAAGCGGGCAGAAATGTAAACCAGATGAGTAATATTAATACTTTGTTGGCGGGCTGCCTCGCACATGGCCTAGGCAAGCAGCTGAGCCGAAACCCCCTACATTGACTGATCTTCAGGACAAGACAACAGCTTTGCCCACTACTCTCTCTGATATGTGGGTGGAGATGGACCCCCGATCCGCCCTTCTGACTGTGTGCTCCATCCTCTTCCAGACACTAGGCACCTTCTCCAGGCCCAACATCCAGTGGACACCAGTAGGACTCTCTCACACTCTTCAGAGCAGCTTTCTTACCAAATAAAGGCACCACGAGGCTGGAATTGGTTAATGTTCAATCAGTCATGACTCCAATAGAATGATGCAGTTCAGTTCAGGTCCCAGGTCCTGCTGGTGGCTTCTCTTGCCCCTGCAGTTAGATGGACCTAGGTTTTTCCTGACCTAGGATGGGGGAAACAAGCTCTATGGCTCTCTCTCTCTTCTTTCCCCTGGAACTAGAAGAGGGAACCCCAGAGTGTCCAGCCCTCCCCCAGGAGAGGGGAGAGCATGAGAACAGCAGAGGATGTTGCGTGTTCCTTCCCCAAACTGTCCACCTCCCAACTAGGACCTACCTAGTCTACAAGCCTACTCCCTGGGGGAGGAGGCACCATAAAGGGGACCCCACTCTCTACCACCTTCCAACAAATTAACTTGCTTGTATGCAGTACAGGGGAGAAATCAGAAGTCTAATAGACCTTATGGGAAACAGAGAAGTGGAATCTATGTCAAAACCAAGGGCGGACTGGGGCCCTCGGGTAATAGGGGATCATGGGGCCCCCATGTGCTTGCCCAAACTCAAAGCACACCCAAAAAAGCCTATAAAAAGGTATAATGGGCATTTTATGGGGCCTCCTACTGACCCCAGGCCCTCGGGCAGTGCCCGAGTGCTTGAATGGTCAGTTCACCCCTGGTCAGAACCTTCTTACTTCCTCAAAGGTACTATCCCAGATGGGAGGGGGGGGTTCATTTAATCCCGGATTAAAGAATGTGTCCCTGATTTCTTTTCAGCCTTACCAATGGCAGCCTCA